GATAGGAAATCCGGGCTAACAGTGTGTATATCAGCTTGAACAAATAAAGATTCTGGAATTAGGCAAAATTTAAGGCTGATACCGGAGCCACCAGACATCCCCTAAGGATGCTTTAATTTGATAAAGAAAATAGAAGAGAATATATATTTAATAGATTTTTGTCTGAGAAATAAAGTCATAGTTTTTTACATAATTTGTCTTTAATCCCATTTTGTTATAAAAATCATGAGAAAATCATATCATAAACCCAGTGTCGTGAATTGTATCAAAATTGTTACCTTCCTATTACAAAGATATTCTCACTGATGTAACCAAAACACCATTTGGTTGTTATATCTGTAAATTCCATGATATTACTACATATCCATAAGTAATAATCTGATAATCAGAAAAAAAAAACATTCTTTTCATTTTAAGCATTTTTATTGTAGAATTCCAGACAGTGTTAACACTTATTTTAAAAATATAAAAAAAATGATGCACAGGTCTAACTGCCACAAACCACAACAAACAGTAAGCACATTGTTCTTACAAAACACTACAGTTCATAGAAAATATTAGTTACACATCACAAAAATAAGGTTAAACACATCGATTCAGCTAGTAATCAATAATCGTTAGTGATGATCATTGATTGATTGTTGTCCATCACATTAGTTTTATTTGTTACTCAGACACTTGCAACCTTACAATTTATACAGCTCAATGTTTCAGTTTCATCTGATTCAACATTTCTAGAGAGCAAAACAAACTACAACAAACTGTATATGACATAACACAACCCAAAGCTAAATACGCTCAATTAACACAAACTGCACTCAAATAAAATCAGATTGGTTTGTTTTCCTCCATTGAAATGCGTTTCATCTGTTCAACATCTGTTTTAACATCAGCAGATTGTCAGTGTTTGTGATGACTGAGAGGGACGTTTATAATGAATTGTGACAGGCAGTTGGGGGCCCCATTTGTGAAAAGGTCATCATTTATCAAAAGTCCGTGTTCATTTTATGACCAAAGTAGCTGAAACCTTGACTCCAAATATTCAGTTATATTTGAAAATGGAATATGCTTTATATTTGTGCAGCTCAAAGTTGAAGATAAAATCCAAAATATTTTTAATAGTGAGTTGCCTGGTGCCTCCCGTAAGATTCAAAAAAACAGCTTTATATACAGGGTTTCTGCAGGTTTCAACAGGTTACATCTAAGACCTTTTAAGACGTTCTTACGGCCACTATGAATGCACTTTAAGACCTATTATTCAACACTTAACATTTAAAAGCGAGACTGAAAAATGCAGCTGTATACAAGTTTTTTTTTTTGTTTATTAAAAAAAAACTTTTTGTCATATTTGCTGTAACGTTTACTTTATCCTGACAGTAATACATGAGACATATCTTTCTTGGCCCTGATTGGTTGTTTTGATTCAGGCCCGGTGGATTCTTCCTAATTACCTACAATTCGGAGCACTAGGAGGAGCCAGAGGAAGCTGATTTTTCACAGATTATCTGTCTTGTGTTCTACTGTCAGGATATAGTAAAGTTTCAGCAAATATGACAAAAAGATATTTTTATAAAAGTTACCTACTGTAATTTAACTCCACTAATCCAATCAAGACCTGTCAAAATCACATTTAAGACAATTTAAGGCCAGACTTTTTTAGAACCCCGTGGGCACACTGTATATAGGTTGTTCTCAGATTGTGAACTCGCGCCATCGTGTATTAAAGATGAGCTTTACATTTCCATCATAATTCCTGTTAACCCTCAAAAAACTTGACAAAGAATGAGCAGACAGAGTGCCATCCCTCGCTGCAGTAAGTCTGCACCGGCTCCATGTCGTTCACCAAGCCTTCCTCCTCAAACCCAGTCCTCTCCTCCCTCTTCTTCTTCTCCTCTTCTTCCTCCTCTTCCTTCTTCTTCCTCTGTTCTGCCTTTCCTCCGTTTGAGCTCTTGCTGGCTGACAGCCCTTTTTTCTTCCCTCCTTCTTTCCCACCCTTCCTCTCCTCCTCTCCACTGCGTTGGGCGAGCTTCATGTGGGCCTCGGTGGGAGACTTCTTGCAGGTTTTGGCCTTCAGGACTTTCTCTCCTTCGCAGGCGTTCTGCCTCTTCTTCAGCTTTCCCACCAGCTGCTTCCAGTATTGGCTGGACTTCACCCCGTAGGCCTGGCAAAGGTCTGGTTTACCAGCATACCGACACCAATACCTGGAGGAGGAGCAGAAGAAGAATGGAAAGGTTTAACAAAGACAAAGGTGAGTAGAAGTCAAGGAAGGAAATGGAGATAAAATGAAGAGTCACCTGTTTCTCATTAGTTTCCCCACCTGTAGAGTGTATATTCCCTGTGTTACTTCCCCTCAGTAACAGTTAGTCTTTGTCACTGTTGTTTGACTCTGCCTCTGCTGTGTACCGAACCCATTTTCTGGCATTTGGGTCCTATTTTCTGTGATCATGGCAATGTCCACGAAAGGTTACCCGTAGATAAAAACATCTCATACTAAGGTAAAAAATGAAAATACTGAAGACTAAATAATAATAATAATAATAATATATTTGCACAATTATGGTGATTTTCTTTTTGTAGAAAAAGTTAAGAAGCTAAGAAAAAAGATACCAAATCCAAGTGAAAATGTGGATTGATAGATATGGAAAAAATAAGTGTTTTTCAACATGAACCTAACCACACGTAGAACATGTGAGTCCTGAGTTTTGCTGCTATAGGCCTAAACTGTTGGGGGACTTCCCATGGTGCACTGAGCTCGCTCTCTTCCTCTCCTCTCTCTGTACATCATTTATGTTCGCATATGGCCATGTTACTAACTTAACTTCTTCCTCATAAAAAGACGTTTTTCCTTGCCACTGTCAAGTGCTTGCAGTTTAGACCTGTTCTATTTGTGTGTCCTGAAATAACTTTTGTTATGATTTGATGCTGTACACATAAATAAAATTTGAAATTGAATTTAAGATAGATCCTGCTAGTGATGAACTCAAATAAACTCGCTTGGATCAGCTCTTCCGTCTAAATCCTAAATATGTATCATAAATCTTCTCTATTAGGAAGTTGTCCAGATACTCAACACAGGTAATGCTTTGAATAATAAGCTCCAGTTTTGAGTCTCACTAAGTAAAGCCTCAAATTATTTAAATGATTGCAAATTACCATCATGTTGATGTAAATTTAAGGGCATTCAAGCGGAATTACATCAGTGTCCTAGTAAATGTATGTCCACAGACAAGCCGTTGCACTCTACAATAGGGCTGTGTATTAGCAAGAAAATGGCGATACGATACATATTACGATATAGGGGGTAAGATTCAATATATTGTGATATATTTCAATACTGTAAACAAACCAAAAATGTAGGAAAAGGTCATTGTATAAAGAACACACCAACATATGCATACAGTCTGAGTAAAGAGAAGTTTACAACACTGCTATCTAGTGTTTGGCGGTTTAAACACAAAAATCAAAAGATTTAAAAGAAAAGAACACCTAGCATTGAAAACAAAGAGAGCTGTATATGCTTGGCACAAATTTACAAACAGACATAAATATTTAATATTGCCGTTAATGCTTCTCTCACCTCTGCTGGTCTCCCAGTGTCTCAGTGCTGCAGTTCACCATCAGGCTCACCAGGCCTTCACCAGACGTCTGCCAAGTGCAGCGATGGCCCTCCTTCGTGGTCAGCTCTCCAGAACCGGGCACTGAGCGGTTTCTAGGTCTCTTGGCCGGTTGCGGTGACGGTGGGGGCTGGCGGGGTTTGTCGGGTTTCCCCTGACCAGGCTGCCGCTTGGCCTCTGTTAGGACGGGGAGGCAGAGGAGGAGGAGGAAGAGGAAACTGCATGGGAGGACACTCATCGTGGCTGGGAAGGGACATTTGGACACGTGAGGAAAGAAAAAGAGATATGTAAAGGTTTATTTTTTTTAAAGTCAACATTTTTGGGTCATTTTGATCATAGTTTTAGTTTTGAGGGACATGTACTGACGTGTTTACAGCTAACAAGCGTGGTAACTGAACAGTACCTGCCCAGCATGCAGGACAGTGTCTGAATTGGACCCAAAAATTCTACTCTCTATCTTAGTTTAACATGTTAGCGTGCTAATATTTTCTAATTAGCACTAAATACAAAGCACGTCTCATAAACCAAACTACAGTGGCTGCCAAACTCCTGAATAATGCCCTGTCTATAGCTAGCAATTGGTTTGTCTGCTCTGGGCTAGAAACATGGTAGTTCTACATGGTGGCCTCTGTGGAAGAAAAGCCGCTCCTCCATTTGACAAAAGTAGTTCATTCTAAGGTAACAAAAACCCAATGATTCAGATTTTCAGCTGATATTTTATGGTAATGGTAATCTATCCAGCAGTTAGGATCATTTTGTAATTTCACTCAAACTGATAAATGTAAGAAAATCTATGAAAAGTCATGGGATCACCAAAGTCATTAGCCTTCATCCTCTGAGGACCATTAATGTCTGTAAACTGGATCCCACATGTTCCGTAATGCAACTCATGGATGTATAAAGGTCTGGACATAGCGTTGGAATCATCAAATCCTTAAAAAAATGTATTCACAGTTTTTCTTTTATAATGTGGGCCAGTGTGCATCATGCTTTAAATACACGGTTTGGCCACTATGTCAAACTGGCTTCAAAGCCCGGTGCTGTTCCTGGGGGCTTGGTGCACGTCTTTTGATGAACCTTTCTTTCATGGGAAGTGCCCATGCCTTTCAAACGCATGTGTTTTGTCCCTAATGATGTCATTTTTCAGACTTTAGAAGCTGTCCCAGAGAAGACATTATACAACTGTTATATAGGCTGAATAGTTTTCTCTTTTACATGTAAACTGACCCTCTCCTCCTCTTTCTCCAGTGATTTAGAGAACAGTATTTATACAACTGAAGGTCAAAGGAAACGTTCACAAGCCATCTATGTGAGTATGACAGCTGTGTAAATCAACTGCATATTTTAGTACTCTGAAAGAGATCTTGAATAAGAGCTGCAATTAAAAAAAATTGACAAATGTAATTTAAATTAATTGTATAAGTCTTACTGTATTTGTTCAGCAATACTAATCTTTAAAAGTCTTGGACATGGGAATTTTTGATGCCTTCCTCATCAGTATCCCAGAGGAGCAGAATGTAGAAGTGGCATGACACGAGTGTTAAATGTAAAAAAAAAAATCAACAATGGACACAGAGTGGGGGTGTGAGTCTCTGTTAGCGGCTTATTGAAAATCAGCCAAGCGTCAGAAACACTCCCCCAAGAAGAGCCCAGACCGGACATGTAGCTATCAAACAACAGGAAGGGAGGGAGGGAAGGTGGTGGAGAGAATTACAGCAGAACTCACGGCTAATCATCATCATCATTTCCACATGCATTTGTCTTTTAGAATAGCTTAAGGATTTATGGAAGGGTAACGGGTAATCACAACCACAAAGTGGAGAAAAAAAAGATGATTAATACAAATAAAAATTAAATACAGCCAAAAATGAATTAATTAATTATTAATGTTGCTTAAATAAATATTATTAACTAAAATAAAGATCCATTAATTTTAAATTATTTTAACAAAATAAAAACACATGCAACAAAACAAAATTGAAGTTTAAAGTATTAAGTCAACACGGTCTCATTTGGTAACGCATGTAAGTAATGTAAGTTAACTAATGTCAGGTACGATTTGAAAGTTCACAATCTTTTTGTAGTAAAGTTATCCTTTATTGATCCCTGTAGGGGATCTCTCCAATTGAGCCACATTATTAAGAGTAGCAGGCAGCCACTCTGCGACACCCATAAACACCCCAGGGGCGGGGGGTCGCAGGGTTGCGAGGCCTTCTTGATTTTAAGGTGTGGAAGAAAACTTCAATAATATAGATGGTATGCCTATATCTCAGCATATTGTTCACTTCTGTGAAGAAGCCGATTTAGTATGTAGGATTGTTTAAAGATGATAAAATAAATATATAATACAGACAGAGAATTGTATAAATATTTCTCTAAACAGGAAATAATCTGCTCAAAATTCATCCAAATCACTTGCAGTTAGTGAGTTCACTGTTTGGGTTCACTGTACAGGTTTGAATATTTAATCTGAAATATCCAGAAATTAGTCACTCAGTCAGTGATAGAAAAGGGGTCCCATACGGAAAAAGGTTGTGGGTCGCCTTCAGTGCAGGACGCCATGTTGAACCGCCATGTTTCTACAGTAATCCAGAATGGACAAACCAATACTGGCTCTAGCTAGGTCAGTTTGTGTTTTTTGGAGGCGAATAAAAGGGAGTTGCAATCCGCAATTACACCGCTAGATCAAGGTTCAAGGTTATTTTATTGTCATCTACGCAAGGTTGTAGAATGAAATTTAGATCTCGTTCTCTTTATGCTACTTTTAAAAACAAAAAAGAAATTGATTGAATCATTTAAAAAAATCCTAATGATGAATTGTTGAGGAAGAATGAAAGGTCTTACACATTAGACCTTTAGTTTTGCCCACACTGTTTCTCAGCTTAGTGGTTGTGTCTTTATTCAACTGCATTTGCACTCTAAACTAGACTAACTAAATTAGGTTCTGTATTAATGATTGAAAACATTCACATCCTGTGCATCATGGTGCCCTCGGGTCGGTGTATAAACACTGAACAGGTTGCCTCCCTGCACCAACATGTCGTTAACTATGTGATACAGCGAGAACAAAACAGCTTGTGTGGTGCCATAATTAATCCCATTAATAATAATTTAAATTAAATCAAAAGTACATTGTGCTCCAGAGCATCGTGTTGTTTTTGTTTCAGTTGAAAGCAAACCGAACAAACAAATGGAGGATAATCATTTTTAATATTTATATTTACATTGGGAACACAAAAACCAACCAAACTGTTTGTTAATCCTGCACTGGATGTACCAAGGCAGCTACAGTTCCCACTGTGCTCAGTGAATTGCATGATAAAAATGTTTCAATCACATGGTGTGTTATTGCAAATTAAGCCAATGCCACCAGGAATACGCAGTTCTGACAAGTTCTGCAGGTTTTGGAACGTACAACTCAGATTTTCCGCTTACCATGTTCACAAATATAAAATCAAATTAAACATTAATCTATCATTTGTTTTCTTATGTTACTAGTTTACCACTAGACAACCTCTTTTTTTTTCACAAAATATGTTTCCTACACAATAAAAGTCCTTTCTTGTTTTAGTAGGCAAGATTTTAACATCCTGACACACAAAAAACATACATGCCTTTTTTGTTTGGGTGGCAAGTGAATGAAGTACCACACAATGGCATTGTACACAATCCAAACTAACATTCATATTTCACACATTTTGTTGTGGTTGAATACAATTTGAAAGAGAGATTCATCGTCTATCCTGTCACCTAATGAGCTGCCTGCACTAAATGTAAGCATCTTCCTTGTTGCTGCCCTAACCCTTCATAGTATAAATACACACCACCAAATGCATCCTTTGTATTTCTCACAGTCAGTGTAATATTTAACATCATAGTTCAAGTTTACAGTAACACTGATATCTAACAGTTGGGGGTTTAAATATAAAAAATAAAGTGTTTTTTGAGAATCAATACAATATCACAAAAAGAAATATCACGATACAATATTTTTAGATGTTTTTCTTACAGCCCTCTAAATTACAGTAAAGAAATTACTGATTTTGAATAGTGATACATTATCATGGTATAAAGATGATAATCTGCTCTGGCCTGTGCGGCTTTAAAACATAACACTAATAGCTCATTGTGCATCTTGCTCTGCAAGTCAAGTAAGTATTTAATTCATTTTAGTGTCTCACTAAGTATAAATAGATAATTTATATAGATATAAAAAATATTTGTAAAATGAAAAACATTTTTGTGTTATGTGAGCCTGAAGGGATCTGATGTTCAATAAAACACAGATATTCTGTCAATATAACAAAGATATTCTGTTCTGAAGAGGTCTGAGGTGACTGTCGGGATTGCACAGTGTTGGTGTAACATTCAGTTCTGGCTGAAAGAATCAACAAAACAGAAAATTATCTGGCAACAATACAACAAGGTGCAAATCTTTAAAAAGAAAAAAGTCTACTATTGATTTCTGCAGCTGTGTTATCCATATATTAACATTTTCACATTAAAAATGTTAATTAATTAATAAATAACCTGGTCCAGAGGTTGCACTATTTGGGTTTTCTTTTTCCCTACTAGACCAGAGTGTTTCCATGCAAAGCACTATTATGTATATAATGGTAATCACAAAGAAAGTTATTTAAAGGCCCTGGAAGTCAGATACTGTGCCTCTGTTTAAGACATATGGAGAAAGTTCTATATGGCATGATGGACAGTCTTAAACATATTCTGATAATATGGCAGCCATTTCTAGGTCATCTTGCTCAATGTGACGCTGAACCTGACCAGCAGAAAAATCCAGTGCGCCGTCCACCTCTCTCATTGAGTGCTTGTGCTAAGAGGTGTTGTGCTAGTGATGCAGCAGTGTAATTAATTATTTACTTTAAATATGCCATGTTTTTTCTGTCCTTTGTTTCTACTTTGTTTTTTGTTTTCTGATAAGTTTGTTTTCTGCACTGCATCTTGGAAAACCCCATAAAAATATTATTAAAAAACTTTATATATAGTCAACTTTATATATAATAGTGTCCCTTTCTCCCTCTCAAATTTGGTACAGTAGGATTTTAGGATTTTTTTACCCTTTAAAATATTCAGGATTTTTTTTTTATGTTCACCATAAAAACTGGAATAAAAAACAGACAAAAATGACAGATTAAACAGATCTCAGTCACTCTTCTACTGCAGCATTTTAACGAGAGTTCCCGGGAGATGAAAAACAAAGACGCACTGCACCAAAACAAAAATAATCCCCTTTCCAAGCACACCCACCCCCCACTCCTCCAAATACACCCCTCATCAATAAGTCATGACAAAAAACAATTCTTTCCTCGTTATGTGCGTCACTCTAATATTTGGTCTAACAGTTTTAGGAAGAAGCAGAGATGCGGAGTAGTTTAGTGTTCGAGGTTTGTTGTTTAGTTGTTTAGTGTGAGCAGAGGCCCGGTGTTCTTACCATGTGACGCTCCACGGCTCTGAGTCGCTGTGAGAATGTGGGGGCCACGAACACTTGGATAAAAGAGGGGAGAAGACAAGGATAAAGGAGGAGGGGGAGGAGGAGGGGGGTAGGGGGAAGTGGTGGGGGGACTATACGAAGAACTGCCCACCCAAAACCAAAGGCACCTCCCACATTCACCCCTCCTGACAAAACCCTATATATGTTTGTGTGTGTGTGTGAGAACAAGACAATGGACACACTAAAGGTTTCTCCCTCTGTGCGACACTGATGGCACCTCAAGTGTTTTGATGCTTCAGTGTCATTCAGCTCTCACACAAAACGCTTCTTTGTGCATCCCTGGAACTCTTTTTATAAAGAAGATACTGTAAAAGCTTCAACTGCAACTCGACTTGATTTTATTTTTATCTTGTTGAAATTTTGTTGTACATGTGAAGGCACCAAACTTTTATTTCATTTTAATATGCATAGTACGTATATTTAAAAAAACAACATGTTGCAACCCTGTAACACTCAGTGAGTAATACATACGACGGTCCATCTCCGTTTGCCTGGCCTATGAGTCGCAGTGTCACATTCTCATTCCACGGTCAAGTTAGCAAGAATAAATAGGCATTTGTTTTCAAAATAAAGCTCACAAGTTATGTCCCTTGCTTCATCTTCCCCTTTTAATCTCAAAGGAGAAACTACAGTGGCCACGAAGTAGGTGAAAAACACAAACACCCCTATCTAGAGCCAATGTTTGATTTGTCCCTTCTGGGCTGTAGAAAGATGGTGGTTCAACATGGTGGACTCCATGGAAGATGACCCATGGCGTCTAACGATATAAAAGATTTATAAAAGACTAGATCCTAAGGTAAAAGAAAAGCAAAAGATTCCTATATTCAGGTGATTATACACTAATGAAAACATATAAATATTATATTCCATGGACTGGACCTTTAACGCTAATCTGTGGTTTCACACAAGACACAGGACTTTTACTGCCCCTTCCTACATGCATGTACATACAGACATTAAGAATTTACAAACCAGTAAGTCCAGATTGTTTCTGCACAGTTTGTGTTTCTTAACTTTATATTTACCACTTCCTGGGTTGAGTTTTTTCACCCACACCATGTTTGAATTTGGGCAAACAAATGTGAGGTGTGTGAGTGCTAGAGCTCAATGAACTCTAAAAGTTTGGGAAGTAGAAAAGTTCTGAATCTGAAGAAATTTAAGATTAAATTTTGTATAAAAGTTACACACACCTTACACACATACACATGTAAAATTACCTAAAAATGCCTAAAAACAACAACATAACCCAAAGTAAATTAAAAGCTTTCTTCAAACCATTTGCAGTCTATATGCATGGTTTGGTTTCACTTAGACAAGATTAACACTCTAAGAAAACACAACTGTTCACTGGCATTTGTCTGATGACTAGACGCAATCAAAATTCGTTTACTCCAAGTTGGGATCATATTGGCTTTGGCAATGAAACAGGACTGTTTTTGTTGGATTATTACTGATTCCAGGATTACAATGAGGCTTCTTGGGTGAGTTGGCTCAATTTTATGATTGCTTGCTTGCTAGTTTGAGGCGCCGATTGTGCCTGCTGTTGTGATTGTATCCCAAAAGCGATTTGATCAATAAATAGACGAGAGTCCAAGCTTTCCAATGATGTATGGTATGGGTACTAAATCCAACATGGCGTAATGTAAACAACACGGGGGCGAGGTTGACATAAGAAAAGGTTAACACTGGGGAGGGGGGACGAAAGAAAGCCAGACAGGTAGAGAAGCATAATTAAAAAAAATTACAATTAATCATTAACAAAAAATATAAGTAGAACCAGACGGATGATGGGAAGTGGAGTAGGAATAAGGAAGATGGAGAAATGGAGCCTGGCATGGTGTCATAGGGATACATAAACTAATCTATGCACACAAATGAGTATTTTCCGATCTCCAATTAATTTCAAAGCTACAGTAGCCGTTAGAACTGAAGTCATGGGTTGTTGAGGCTGCTCCGGTCAGTGAGGGGGTGTTTACCGGCAGGCTAACAGCTGTGTTTTGATATTGAGATGCTAAATCCATTCCTTCATATTAATAATGCACGCGTTATCAGATTCAATACATACACATAGTCCTCTCCAATACTCTTTTTCTTTTTTAAGCTGTGACGCTACAGCACTTTGGAAGTTGTTTCAGCAATACTGGCGAGCTTAAGCTGCTCTCAGTTGGGTGCACATATACCATTATGTATTGTACTGCAGTGCAATATAAACAGTAAAAGTTTATAGGCCATGGACAATCGTATCTAAATGAGCTGCTTGGGTTTGCTGCAGTATTGTTGTGATTTTGGACCAAGATGCTTTGATATTATAGCCCGACTGATACTTGGTTTATGAGGCAGATATTAACACAGTTTGGAATTTCTGAGCTGCAATATCTCATTACTTATTGGCCAACATACACAGCAATATTCTTCATTCGGAACCCTATTAGGTCACTAGTCCTCCTGGGGTCCACACAGTAAAAACAACCAACAATTTAAAATAAAAGCATCAATAGATACGTAAATATATATCTGCAATAAGCTAATATTAACCTATATATCAATCCAGCAATATTGTTGCTCAAAATATTCATTTGAGAGCACAAATGAGTGAATCCTGTGCACCAATTATGATTTTGTTTTGCCCTGTAGATAGGCAAGGAAATATAAACCAATTAATTGTGAGAGACAAAGGTTCCAGATGAGTAGTGAGAAGTTGGAAGAAGAAGTAGTGACACATTTAGAAGCTATGGAAGGATGAAAGAAGTGTGAGATGCTAGATGGAGGAATTAAAAACAAAGGGGGAGAGAATGCGGTTTCTACCCTGCCATCCACTGATGGACTCAGGAGGACACACATGCCTTGGTTCTGCTGAGCCTGAAGGACAACTGGAGCTGTTTATTGCTAAATGACTCTCTCNNCATCCCTTTTCTCTTCCCTACTCTCCTTCTTTCTCTCTCTCCTTCTCTTTTTCTGTCTCCATCTCTCTCCATCTGTTGGATACTTTGCCACATCAGCTGTTCTCCAGCCACACTGAAATGACCCCTCAAGGAAACGTAATCCTCGTTGTGTATGTGTGCGTCTGGCTGTACACGCACACACATAAAATGCT